ACCCATGGAGAGAGGGCAATTGAGAAAGCAACATCCTTGGACATAACCATCACTTTGGAAGCGTCTTCTGCAGAAGAAAGTCAGAGAGGACAGCAGCCTAGGGCAGGCCCCAGGAAAGTTAGAACTGATTATAGACTAGGGTCTGACTCCAACTAGGGAACTAGAAGCATGATACTACACTGTAGATACTGGAATCTGTCAGGGAAGTAATATTTAAAACCATGGCCTACTTAAAGGTGTGTGTGTGTGTGTTCTGTGTGCATGTGTGTGTTTATGAAGGGAGGTATGTTTCAGATGTCTATGGAAGGAGGAAGGATTTATGAAGGACCATCCGGAATAGAGATGCCTTATCCATCAGAACTCCTCAACAGAAAATATTCCTTTTTAACCTCCTCCCAGGACAGAGTACAAAGTCACTCACTCAGAGAAGGTCAATTTGTTACCATCACTCCCTCATCTGTCTGGAGAGGAAATCATGAGTTGTGGGAGACTCTGCTGGGAGCACCAAGGAGGAAAGGGCGGGGTGGAGGTGAGCTGAGGGTGAGTGGTCCAGGGACCTCCCTCTCCCATTGTGTACCTGCGCTAATGGGTAGCAATTGTTTCACTGCAAGTTAGGATTGGAGTTTTACCTCTCATTTCTGAGCTGAGACTATAGCAAAGTTCTCACCCAGGGGCAGGAGTAGACTTCATATGTGAATAATATTAAAAGGGTAGCACGAGGAAGCAAGGAAGCTTCCTTTGGAGCACAGTCCAAGAACTGAAGAACGGTTCTTTGAAAATGATGCTAGAAGAGACTCTCTCCACAGTGGCCTGGAAGAGCTCAGTGAGGAGTGTAGATAGCAATCATTTTTTCTCTTTCCAAAGATGTGATGGACTGTTCATAGTTATGGGGGCATGCTCAATAAATACAAGTACAGCCATCTCTGGCTGTCAGCGTGCCCACTGTAGCAGCAATGGAGATGGCCTTTGGCTCACCCTTCAAGAGAAAACTTTTCTTCATCTGCAAGGAGTGTTAGGAGCTGGCAGCCTCCAGCTGCAGTTCTCCCAGGCCCACCACTTTTAGGGCAGCTCCAGCCAAGAACTGCACATAGGCGGGGCATTGGTACCTGACACTCTTGGACAAGATCTAGTTCTTGGGCAATCCTACCCAACAGAGGCATCCTCACCTACATCATGGTGTCACACTCTCCCAACTTGGGCTTGCTTTCTCCTCCGTTATCTTTCACAGGCATTTTCTCTCCCATGAAGCCGCTTTTATTCTTGACTTCAACACTTGAAATCTTTAAACCCTGGACATTATACACACGAGCTTGTTTTCTTTTTAGCTTGCTTTAATTGTATTCTTAATTTTGTGTAGTTTATTTTTTTAAAACATTGGTGAAATTGTGTATACATTTATCATGTACAACATGTCACTTTGAAGCATATATATGTGTGTGTGTGTGTACCTTGTGGAATGGTTAAATCATGTTAATTAACATATTATTAACAGCCTGAAATATTTTTTGTACTATAAACACAAAAATCTATTATCAGCTAATTCTGAGAATACTATATATTAAGTGTATGTGCCATTAACTGCAATCACCATGTTGTATAGTAGATCTGTTGAATTTATTCCTTCTGTCCACCTGAAACTTTGTGTCCTATGACCACTGTTTCCCCATCTGACCTGATCCACAACCCTTGGAAATAACCATTCCACTCTCTACTTCGATGGGTTCAATTTTTAAGGATCCTACATGTGAGATCATGTGGCATCTGACCTTCTGTGGTTGCCTTGTTCCACTTAGCATAACACATTCTGGTTCGTCTCTGCTGGCGCAGATGGAGTTCTTTTTCTATTTTTAAGGTCCGATAGTACCCATCATATATATGTACCACATTTGCTTTCTCCACCCATCCACCAATGGATACTTGGGTCATTGCCCTTCTTTTCTTGGCTATTGTGACTCATGCTCCAGTACACATGGGACTGCAGATAAATCTTCAACATACTGATTTCATTTCCTTTGAATACAGATCTAGCAGTTGGGATTGCTGGATCAAATTTCTTTTTAAATACATGGGAAGATTGGTTTTAGAACCTTCCAGGCTCAAGTTAAAACTTGACCCGTATTTATAGAAAAATCCAAATCAAAGAGGCTTGGTTCTCAAGGGTACAAGAACAAGCATTCTCCTTCACTTAGCAGACCTCATCCTTGAGGTCTTATCCTCGATAGCTTTTCTCGGAGAGTTTTTCGTCAACCCTCCTGACTTCAGGAGCTTGTTGGAGGCTCTTCCTTTTTCCCCTTTCTCTTTTGTTCATTGTGGTAGTTTGAATGTAATTGGCCCCCAAAATCTCATAGGGAGTGGCACTGTTAGGAGGTAAGACTTTGTTGGCGTGGGTATGGCCTTGTTGGAGGGAATGTGTCACTGTGGGGGTGGGCTTTGAGGTTTCCTATGCTCAGGATACCACCCAGTGTGTCTCAGTCCACTTCCGGTTGCTTTCTGATCAAGATGTAGCCAACACCATGTCTGCACGCTGCTGTGCTCCCTGTCATGAGGATAATGGACTGGACTTCTGAAGCAGTCAGTGAGCCACCATGATTAAATGTTTTCTTTATAAGAGTTGCCGTGGTCATGGTGTCTCTTCATAGTAATAAAAATCTAAACTAAGAAGTCGTGAAATACCATTTTGGCTTCCTTGTCATAGTATAGGACTTGTTGAAATGAGCACTGCTAGAAACTTCAAGGCTATCCAGTTTGAGGATCCATCTGGTGTCGAGATGCTGTAGACCATCTGAACCAGTGACTGTCCATCTTAACATGAATACAAGGAATGAACGCTATCTAACACAGCCCATTGCATCTTTACAGCCAAAGTTTATCCTTTTCTTTCTTCTTAACCATTTGTTTGTTTGTTTGTTTTTTCAAGACAGGGTTTTTCTGCGTTACAGCCTTTGCTATCCTGGAACTAGCTCTTGTAGACCAGGTTGGGCTCAAACTCACAAAGATCCACCTGCCTCTGCCTTCCAAGTGCTGGGATTAAAGGTGTGGGCCACCACTGCCCAGTTCTCTTTTTAACCATTTTTAAAATTTCAGTTATAGTTTGTGTGTGCATGCGTGCATGCATAAGGAAGGGGTCAGTGGGTATCAGGTCACTTGAGGCTGGAGTTTCAGGCAGTTGTGAGTTGCCTGGTATGAGTGCTGCACATCACGCCCGGGTCCTCTGCAGAGCAGATGTGTTCTTAACCTACATCTCTCCAAAATGGGTTTCCCTGTAGCGCTTTCATGTATGCATCTAACATACTTTGATTGTGCTTGCACTCTATCATTGTTTCTTGTGTTTCCCCTCCCCCACTCAGTCTCTCTTATTCCTAATTAGTCTTCCTCTCAAAGCCATCTAGGTTTTGAAAACCATCTAGGTTTTCAAAAGCCTAGATTCTGCATATGAGGGGAAAAAAAACCCCAAACCATGGCCATTTTGTTTAGCATGATTACTTCTGGTTCCATTTCCTTTCCTACAAATTCCGTAGCTTTGTTACTTATGGATGAATAAAATTATTGGTGTATACATATCACGTCTGCTTTATCCATTCACCTGTTGATGGGCACTTAGGCTGGTTCCATAACCGCTACTGTGAAGACCGTTGCAGTAAACTTGAGTGTGCAGGATCACTGCGGGATGCTGATTTAGATTCCTCTGAGTATATTACCCAGGAATAGCTATATCATATGATAGTTCTCTTTTCGGTTTTTCAAAAGAGCCTCCATACTGATTTCCATAGTGACCTTATTAATTTATATTTCTACTACTTTCAGTTCTGCATACAGTTTCATTTCTGTTATTGTGTTAAAATACCCTAAAAGCAACTTAGTGGAAAAACTGTTTTGGCCCATGATTCCAGGCTACAGTCTATCAAAGCAGGGAAACAGTATCAGGAGCCTAAGACTGTTGCTCCGGATGAACAAGAACAGAGAGAAACGAATACATGCATGCTTGCTTCTTTGCTTATGCTTGCCTCTTACACAGTCCAGAACCCCTGCCTAGGGAATAGTGCTGCCTACAGTGGGCTGGATCTTCCCACATCCATCAACCCCAAAGACATACCCATAGACTAACTCAGTGTAGATCATCCGTCATTGAGACTCTTTCCCCAAGTGATTCTAAGTTGTGTCAAGTAGACATGTAAAGCTAACGGTCCACCACACAGCCAAGAGTGCACATAGGTGTTCCTTTTCTTTCCAGGATATGTTTCTCATACCTTGATTCTCTACAATCTCTTCTCAAATCTGATTTTCTCTATATCTTTGATCAAGATTGATAATCTGAATGATTTGAAATATTTCTATGACATTAATAACTCTAACAAACTCCTTTTAAAATGATTGCTGTTATTATTGTTGTCATTTTCCTTTTGGGACAGGGTCTCCCTATGTGTAGCTCCAGCTCACGATATAGACCAGGGTGGCCTGGAATTCAGAGCAATCTACTTGCCTCTGCCTCCCGAGTGCTGGTGTTAAAAGGTGTGCACCACTATGCCTAGCCTGAAACAGAATTTTAAAAGAGAATCAGCTTTTCTGTGCTGCCTGGGGGGAGGGTATCCAAAGGATGTTTCTCTCAATTCACACTGCAATTTAAAGGGAAAACTCACATAGTGTCTGGAGCCCATGACATCCTGCAAGTGAAGAAGAAGAATGTCCTCAAACTCCTTGCAGTAGAAACTCACTTAGGTGGCACCAACCTTGACTTCCAACTGCAAAAGGCAAAGTGATGATATTTACATCAAAAATCAGAGGAGGACCTGGTGAAGCTGTTGCTGACGGCTCCATCCATCATTGCCACTGAGAACCCTGCTGATATCAGCATCATCTCCTCTAGGACACCCTGGGGCCAGCCAGCTGTGCTGGCCACTCCAAGTGCCAGCCGCTCCACTCCTAGGACTTTCACTAGCCAATCTAAGAGAACTTCAGGGAGTGATGTCTTCTGGCGGTGCCCAATCCCAGAGCTGACCACCAGCTTCTCGCGAGGGTGTCTTATGTTAACCTACCTACCATTGCTCTGTGTAACACAGACGCTCCTCTGCACTGCTGACATTGCCGTTCCATGTAACAAACAGGGGTATTCACCCAGTGAACCCTGTTTGGTGGATGCTGGCTTGGGAAGTTCTGCACACGTGTGGCACCAACAGTGCCCATCTGGTCACGCCCGATTCCTACTTCTATAGAGATTCTAAGAGATTGGGAAGGAAGAGTAGGTGCAGTTAGAAAGGTTGTGACCAAGAAGGAATGTCAGGGTGAATGGACCGTACTTACTCCTGAGTCCACTGCTTCCAGACGGGAGGTGACCTGAAGGTGTGCATGTGTCCCCTCATGCAGAAGTTCCCTAGTGACGATCAGAATGTTCAGAGAGCCACTGGGGTCTAGTCTGCAGGTCTCACTGCGCAGGAATCAGACGGAACCACCACTGAGTGGTCATCAACTGTTTCACAGACGCTTGAGCAGCAGAGAAAGGTGGCTGGAAGACAAATAGTTTCTTAGAAAACAAGAGATCAATCCCCCATCCCCAAATAGCATCCCGGGTGGGAATACAGATAGCTTTAAACAAAAGGACTTCTCTCACTCATCCTTTCTAATGCTGTGAGTGCGCACTTAACCGGGGCCAGGAACAGTGGAACATACAGAAGAAATAAACAATAGACTCTCAGGGGAGATAGAGAGCACAGCAACACAGGACGCACTGAGGTGGCAGGGTGCGCATGCCGAGGGCCGGCAGCAAGCTGGTGCGTGCATATACGATTTCCATGGCATCTGGACATGCAGAAAATTGGAAGTAGAAAGTTGTTATTAGGAAGTAAGACTTGAGCTGAGTTTGGGGGATGGGCAATCTGAGTCAGTGGATAAATCATCTGACCGTTAGACTGGGGAGAAATGTCCCACGAGGGCCAGGGAGGAACTTAATGGGGACAGAGGAAGTTGGAGTGCGAAGAATTTCCCTCTCTGTTCCTGTCAATATCAATCAGTCATTCTTCTTGGAGAACCCCATACCGACTTCTCTTTCCACAGCCTGTGGAGCTGACCAGGCCATTCTTCCCAGGCAGGGATTGCCGATATGGGGGCCTTTCTCTGGTCACTCCTTCTGCTGCTTCGGGAAGGTGAGTAGCTGCCTGTGCTTTGTACCCCTCGACTCTACTTGGCCTTAGGCTAACAAGACCCTTCCTTTAGGGATGAATGTGTCAGTCCTGCTGATGGGCACCTCGGCTGATTCTCTAGCTTGGCTATTGTGACATGCTCTGCTGTAAACGTGGGTGTGCATGCATCATAGCATTATGTTGGCTTAGATTGCACTGAGCATGTACCCAGGAGTGATATAGCTGGATCCCAGCCTGGTTTTGAGAAACTTCCATTATGATCTCCAAGGGATGGGGTATGGCCTCAGAGTGGGATGAGGCAGGAGGATATCTGGGGGATGTGGATGGGGTTGCAGTTCAAGAAGGACAAGGAAAGAGGGAAAACTTTGGATGGCGAAGAGATGAATGGGGACCATTCCTGGTCGGCTTGGGTGCAGTGGAAATCTAGAACTACAAGAGGTAGCTAGAGAGTCACATTGAACAGGGAGCTAGAAAAGTCGTTCAGATGAGGAGCAGCCATGGCAACCATGCCAACTAGCCTCAGTCTCCCAGAGATATCGGCTGGCCTACATACATCTCTTTTCAGCCAAGGGGTTTTCTGGAGATGATGAGGACCCTGAGGAAGTGGTTGCAGCTCTTCAAGAGTCTATCAGCTTCTCCCTGGAAATACCACCCAATGAAGAGGTTGAGAGCATCACCTGGTCCTCTCAAAAAAACCTCGCCATAGTGGTGCCAGGGAAAGAGGGACAGCCGACCAGCATCAAGGTGATGGATCCTCGCTTCCGGGGTCGAGTGGACGTCTCGGAGTCCAGCTACTCTCTGTATATCAACAATCTGACTTGGGAGGACTCGGGACTTTACGAAGCCAAAGTCAACTTGAAGACATCCCAGTTCTCTATCACGAAATCTTACAATCTCCTTGTCTACCGTGAGTTTAGACTCCTATTATTCTGGCTTTCCTGAGTTTGGCATGGGAGCTCGGGGGCTGAGGTAAGCTTTAAGAGGCTGAAACTGGAAGGCAAACCGCCTCAAGTGTGCTCTGCTCTAGTGTCTGAGCTCAGCCACAGGGAGACTGAGCTGGAACAAGCAGCCATTTAGGTACTGAGGCAGAGGTTCCCAAAGCGGTGAGTGATGAGGATCGTGTATAGCAAGGGTATCTAAGGGTCCTTTCTCACCCAGCAGACTGTGCCTCCTCTAGATAAATAGCTCTTTAGTCCCTTATCCCCTTGTGTGATTTGAGGGTTACTAATCATTTCTTCCCCGCTTGAGCCAACATTTCTTCTCTCTAGCTGCTGTACTGAATCTATTTAGGATCTTGGAGAGATGACTAAAATGTAAATACCCTTGCGAGGGTGGTAATGTTTTGTACAATCAGTGAGACAGAGGAGAAACTGGGAGAAGGAGGGGTCTAAAGCTGAGAGAGTGAAGTCAGAAGGAGTACCGGTATACATCTGTCTAAGCACATTCCCTGGGACCCCGCAACCACAAATTAGATGCTTGTTTTTAATCTGGTTTTATTTATTTTTTATTTTTTTAATTTTAATTTTATTTATTTTATTATTATTATTATTTTTTTTTTTTTGAGCAAAAGGCCTCTCAGGATAGCTAGAATACCCAAGGCTTGAAAAATGTAGGAAAACAGACCCAACTTCAGAATGCTCAGCAGGTCTTTGTGTTTTTTTTTTGTTTGTTTGTTTTGTTTTTGTTTTCTCTCTTTTAGGGCGACTGTCAAAGCCCCATGTCACTGTGACCTTTAAGATTTCTGAGGAAGGTGCCTGTAATATATCCCTGATGTGCTCTGTAGAGAGAGCAGGCATGGATGAGACCTACACCTGGTTTTCCTCACAGGACAGCACTAACACTTCTCGTGAAGGCTCTGCCATCAGTACATCCTGGAGGCCCGGTGACAGAGCCCTTTCCTACACTTGTAGGGTCAGCAACCCCATCAGCAGCACCAGCTCCCGTCTCATCCCTGTTGGGTCCTTCTGTGCAGGTACCAGAACCCTAGAGACAATTCCTGAGACTGTGCAAGTCCTGTGACTGAGGACACCACCTCCTCCCATGCCTGGGGCTCTTAAGGAGAGTACTGGACTCTAGAACACAATGCTCTCCCGTAGAAGCCTGCTATTGGATCAGAGAGGGGCCCTTCCTTTGTCAATTGCTCTGGATTCCCAGAGGATTCTTCCATACTTGGCTTGAGACTGGTGACCAGATATCAGTCCTTGAGCGTCTGTGCCCAGAATAGGTATTTCTAGAGACATGTGTTGTAAGATATGAGCTGATTATTCTCCCAAGAGCCTTTCTGAGACACTTCAGGTAGACATCTGCCCTCTAAACTTTATCATTCTTTTAATGAACTCTTGTTCTTTCTTCCTATCCTAGATCCTGGCTCTCCAGAGAAATCTCCAACGTTCTGCCTCCTGGCCAAGGGCTTGCTCCTTCTCTTACTCTTGGTGACTCTAGCTGTGGGACTCTATGTCTTCCGAGCCCAGAAAAGTTATGAGATGTCAAGGGTGAGGAAACTCAAGAGAAACCGAATTAAACTGAGGAAGAAGGGGAAACCTGGTCCTAGTCCAGTCTCACCACCCCTGGGGGATGTCTGTTCTGAGCTCTGACTCCTCTTAGCCTCCAGGGAAATCATCTGGGGGGCAGGTGGGAGGGCAGACCAGGGTTAAACACCTGAAAGGACCATATTTCCTGAGAGACACCATCTGGCAATAAAGTCAAGTCCCCACCCCTCTGGAGGAGCTGTGCTTGGTGTTTCTGTTTGTGCTCAGCAGCCCAGAGAAAACCTGTTTTCCACCTTCTCTACCTGTCCTCCTGTCTTTACTGAAGCTGTGCGTCCTTCTCAGGCTTGCCTCTGGGCAGGAAAACAAGTCTGAAGACCCCATTAGAGTGAAGTGTTTGTTTTTACTGTGCGCATCCCATTCCTCACTACCCTAAGTCTCACAATACTCTAAACTACACAGCAGGCGTTCTCGCCTGATTGAACTTGTGGCAGCCGGTCGGTCGTTTAGAGTTCTATGTAAGTGCTATGCCCAAGACTCCTTGCTCTCCTACCCCTATCCTCATTCTGACAGGTAACTTTACTTAACTCCTCTACGCACTGTACCAAGTCTATACAGAAACCGTCCCACAAGGAGGTGGCGGAGGCCCCTGCTCAGTCCTTCCCTGGGTTGTAGTTGGGTTTAGTGACCTCTGTTGTCTCCCTGATGCCAACTGCTCTGAGCCCTGCTGCTCACCTGGTAGAAGTGACAACTTACTGGGTCAGTTACTAAGATCTTGCACCCTTGACTTCTGTTTAAGGTTGACATAGTTTATCCCGGTGTGGTGGCCCACGCCTTTAATCCCAGCATTTGGGAGGCAGAGGAAGGTGGATCTCTGAGTCTGAGGCCACCCTGGTCTACAGATCAAGCTCCAGGACAGTCAAGGGCTAGACAGAGAAACCCTGTCTGAGTTGATTTTGTTGGCCTTCCTGGTTTTTTCTTACAGATTTCTGTTTTGGGCCTTCCGATGGAATCGTTGGTCAATGTACAGCTCTTTACTCTTCCTCTTTCCGTAGTCCTAGGTCTGACGTGCCTATCATATCGTTTTCCCAAAGCTCCATCTTGGGTGTTTTACTTAGGTAATTGCCAGGGGAGGGGGGCACAAGAGAAGCCACTTGATCAGTAGGACAGGTGTACGTAACGAATGAATTGGTGGAGGTGATGTAGGATGTGCCAAGGAGGGAGCTGGGGGAGATCTTAGGAAACCTAGGTTGTGTCCTGCCACTTCCCCCTGTCCTGGGATACTGTGTTTACCCAGCATCCATCAGTTCAGTTCCACAAAGAACACCTACACTACATAGGTGTAGCTTCTTGGAGTTCTTACAGAGACTGGGCCTCCTTTAGGTACTGAACAATCTTGTCTTCAAAAAAGGTCTGTAGCCCTAACTTCTGACACTTTCCAGGCCTGTCAGAGGAGGCGCCACTGTAAGGTGAGGGCCTTTCTGGGCAAACAACCTGGAGTCTGTTTTTTCACCTAGAGGGACAGCGCGTTTCTCTTGTCTTAGGAGCTGGCATACAGAAAGCAAACAGAGAAATAAATAGTCTCTGTGTGGCTTAGTCCAGGGATCTCCTGGAGCTGGCAGAGTCCCTTCTTCTTGGAGCCAATCTCTGAACAGAGAAAGCCCAAAACAGCCTGGAAAAAGAAGGCTTAAACCTTGAAGAAAGTGTACACTCAGAAGCTGGAATAGGAATCCGGTAGCATGTTAAGATGCTCTTACTCGTTATTTGAAATAGGTTAATGCAAACTGGGGGATGGACATTCCAGCCAGACAGGAAACACACACCAAGATGCTCACATGTGAAGTATCATAGCACCTACGGACTGCCATGCCACATGCTATGACTAAAGAGTGCTTGAGGAAGCAGGCTGGAGAGTCATGCTCTAAACGGTGAGGGGACCAGGGCTCATGCACACATTGCCAACAGACTCCCCAGGATCACGATTTTCTGATAGTCTCATCCAGAAATTGAAATATACAAAGTCGCTGATACATTAGAGGCAGTACTGGTTGGCTGAATAAATTTTTCCAGAGGAGCAGTCACTATGGCTCAAGGACAAACGGGAGGAAAATCTTTAGTTCTCACCTTTAGGGATTCTGTTTTTTAAAAAAATCTACTTCACTTCTGGAGTAAGGAGGGTACAAGTGACAGGACTAGATTTCGTTTCTTATAAAAACAAAACAAACACATAAAATACATCAATCAGACAAAAATGACAACAATAAAAAACCTTCAGGAAAACCATGAACATATAAACTTTTAAAATTTGAAAACCGTTTAAAATCTCATTTTTTTTTAAAAAATAATTTTAACATCCACATGAGATTAGCTTATCTTTCTACCAGAAACCACCATAGACAGCCAAAACGAAACTCTTGGACCAGAGGTGGGGGCCAGTGTCTTCCAATTGGTGAGGAACCAAGAAATCAAAGACTTCCCCTTTTGAGCTTATAGTTTGCGGTTATGTTCAGGCTCTGTTCACTAACATGAAGTCATCTTGTCAACTGTTAGGGTAGCCTACTATGCAAACCAGCAAAGCCGCTAGTTCTGGGTCCCTGACCAAGTTTCTGTCGCAGCCTGCTTTCCCCTGCTCCAAGCTCTTTGTGTGGCTTCCAACACTCAGGCCCTTACACCTGGGAGAATGTTCCAGGTCTCAAGGCTTACTAAAGATGGAAGGCCAAACATAGCGATGGGATCTGATTTGGATGACCAGCATTCGGGGTGGTGTGAGAGTGATTCAGGCGTGCTTAAAATCTTTCCCCAGGGTCTGCTCCCGACCCCGATATCATTAACTTCATGCCTGTTACAGTCAGTGGGAGCTTTACTCAGTCAGTTCAGGGAGGCTTCGGGAGGAACACCCTGGGAAGTTCCTGGACAATGTAGCCTGAGCCTGGTGGGAAAGCAAACAGCAAGCCTGCACCCCCACAACAGCGCCAAGGTGAGAGGTACTAATTTCTGAGGGCAGGTACATGCTGCCTGTGTGAAATGTCCCAAGGGGGTGGGTTCCGCGATCCAGGTTGGATCTCAGGCCCTGAATGTGCCTAGGTGGGAACTTTTGACTGGGCAGGTTCCTCCATCTGGTCCAGCCGCTGTTTTCATACTAGTCAAAAGGAGCTGCACTCTCTTCGCGGGGTTTCAGTGCAGATTTCGGGAGCAACGAACCAAAGCATGAATCTACCCCAGGGTTTGGCATCCTGCAAGGGATTCGGTGTAGAATCAGATATTTCATTCTTTCTCTTTCAATCTCCGTTGTCAGGGTGCCTGTCATTTCTTCCCCCTGGGCTTCATTTCTCTAGGTCTTTGGTGCTAGAAGCTGCTCTGGCAGCCCCAAACTAGGAGCTCAGCCTTCAGCAAGCTACACACAAGGGAGGCGCTTGAGCAAAAGTTGGGAGCTAGCCAATACAGACAGGTATTTCCAGTCCAGCGAAAGGAAATGGGTGGGGGTGGGGATAAAGAGAGGCGATCAGATGGGCCCGGGACTTGGACGGATCCCCAGGGAGGGGGCGGGGAATCGTGCTCTCCCCCAGGTGCTTCTGCTCCTGGCTCAGATTTCAACCTTCGATGCTTCCTTTGTGGCACGCTTGTTCGAAAAGGGGAGAAGGCCACGGGTAAGTTTTAAAGGAAGGAGAGCATGCAAGCAGCCTGCAAAGGGGATAGTCTTCTGCGGCTCTTGGTGCCCAGGTCGGTCTGACCCAGTAGCCCATCTAACTCGAGGCGGGAAGTGGCAATCAGCCTTCCCACACTTAGTTGTATAGAACTCCACGAGGGGGCGACTGGAGCCCACGTGCGACCGCGTCCTTCTGTCTCTAAACTACAACTCCCAGGCGGCTCGAGGGTCCCGCCCGCCTTGCCCAGCCTCTGTGGGCTCCAATTGGACGCCGCGGGAGGGGGGGGGGATTGGCGGTCTCCAGGGCGACGGGAGGCGCTCGGGGCATCTGAGGCGGGGAGGCGGGTCCGCCCCCTATTGTGTGGCTGCGAGAGCAGAGCTGTGCGGTGCAGAGCAGGTGAGGGTGGGGGTGTCCTGGGGCGTAGAAATGGGGTACCGGCGGGGACATGGAGGGGAGTGAGGAGTTGTGGGGGCCAGAGGGAAGCGGGGGAGCTCCAGAGAGAAGTGAAATTATCTGGGGAAGCAGAACTAGGGTAGCTCTGGGAGCGAAGTGGAATCACTGATGGGTGAGTGGGGGTTCCAATAGATCTGGAAGAGTGTAAGAGGTAAAGGAGGGGAGTTCTTGGCGGGTTCCAAAAGAGAGGCGTTCCAGGAGCCAGAGAATGCGAGGGAACAGAGAATTGTTGTGGTGGGCTATCAGAAGTGTATTATGGGATGAGTCCTGGAGGGTTGGAGGGTGGGGGATTCCCGGGAGAGCAGGGTGGGGAAAAGGGGGAGGGCGAGTGGGAATTCTGGAGGAGGCCAGCCAGGGGTGCTCTGAAGGGAGGACCTGCTGCAATTGGAGATCAGAGGTGAGAAGCTGGAATTTTGCAGACAGTGTGAAAAGTGTATGGCGGGGGTGGGAGTCCTGGAAGAAACGAGGGACTGCTGGATGGGATGGGAAGATCAAAAGGACAGAGGATGGATGGGGAGCAGGAGTTGGAAAGACTCCAGGAAAAGTGGGGTACGTTCTGGGGCTGCCTTGGTCACAAGACTCTTGGCCGAGCTGGAAGAGCATGGCCTCTGTGTGGTACAATTGGAAGGTTTTCCAGGGAACTCCAGGAGAGCTGACTGGGAGGAGCAGCAAGAGGCATGGGAATTAATTACCAGGGGTCAGACATACAGGGGCGATCCTGCCCCTGTGGAGGGTATTTTACAGACAGTGCTGAATTGTGTGAGGCCCACAAGAGGGTGGAGGCCTCAGAGCAGAGTCCACTGGGTTTGCCAGGCCCAGGTCAGGGCCCTTTGGTCCTTCGTGACTGCCTTAGACACTGAGAAGTTGGTATTGCTGGGAGTGCCTGCCTTCCGTGCTCCAGGGCTCGTTTTGTGTATCCTGCGGACTCAAAAGCAGTTTTGGTACTCTCAGATCGTGCCTCTAGGGTTAGGGAATGGAGGGCCTGGCTAATCCTGGCACCCCCAGGATACTAGAGGAGTGTGTGGGAGTAATTAGGGTGAGGCACTAAGTCGGGGTGTCTGGCAGAGAGAGGGTTCTCTGGCGGCATCTTGAAGAAAGTGGCTATAGCTGCCAACTCTGGATCTGTCCAGACCTG